ATGTGTCCGATATCAAACTAATCAGCGAGATCGTTCACGGAGAACTCAAGGACAGACAAGATGTATTCAACTCTTGCGCCCGTTAAGAATCTTAAAACAAAAACGACTTTATTCCAAGGCATGTTACAAAGAACGGCATTTCTAGAATACTCTAAAACTCGACCCTAAAACACTGTAGGTAAAGAAGGAGCAAACAAAAAATTTCTAGCTTTGGCTACTTTCAGTAAAAATCCAACATGTTGAAACTGATGATCACCGAGCAGAGAGGCAAGCTTGCTAGCCAGTTCGTCAACGCACCCCCGGGAAGTCACTACAAACTACTAATAGTTTGCTTAGGGAAATCACAAATCCAAATCTTATTTTTAGGGAAACAAATCCAAATCCAAGAATTCAGAAACTTGCTGTTAGTCCTTAAATCTCCCAGTTTACTGTGACCTTGTTGCATGTCCAAGAATTCAGAAACTTGCTGTTAGTCCTTACATCTCCCCGTTTACCGTAATCTTGTTGCATGTCTTGGACATAAATTTCTCGCTGTTTGTTCTTACATCTTCCCGTTTACAGTGATCTTGTTGCATGTCCAAGAACTCAGAAACTCGCTGTTTGTTCTAACATCTGCCCGTTTACTGTGATCTTGTTGCATGTCTAAGAACTCAGAAACTCGCTGTTTGTCCTTACATCTCCCCGTTTACTGTGATCTTGTTGCATGTGTAAGAACTCAGAAACTCGCTGTTTGTTCTTACATCTCCCCGTTTACCGTGACCTTGTTGCATGTCTAAGAACTCAGAAACTCGCTGTTTGTTCTTACATCTCCCCGTTAACTGTGATCTTGTTGCATGTCTAAGAACTCAGAAACTCGCTGTTTGTCCTTATATCTCCCCGTTTACTGTGATCTTGTTGCATGTCTAAGAACTCAGAAACTCGCTGTTTGTTCTTACATCTCCCCGTTTACCGTGACTTTGTTGCATGTCTAAGAACTCAGAAACTCGCTGTTTGTCCTTACATCTCCCCGTTTACTGTGATCTTGTTGCATGTCCAGGAAAGGAACAAGGTGCTGTTTGTCTTTATATCTTACTATTCTTCTCCTTTTTTCTATTTTATCTCCTTTTCGCGCTATTTATCTCTTTCCTGTTCTCTCTAAGTCTTCCTTTCCTATCCTTATCTGTCTTTCTTCTTCCTCTCTATCGATTTTCTCCCCCCTTCTCTCTCTTTCGCTCTCTCTCTCTCTCTCTCTCTCTCTCTCTCTCTCTCTCTCTCTCTCTCTCTCTCTCTCTCTCTCTCTCTCTCTCTTTGTTTGGAAGAGTCAAATGTGTAGACGGACCTGTCTGTCCAATTTGTGACACTTGGGTGTGGGTATGGGGGTGTAGTGAGGGGGTATTTCTCTCTCTCTCTCTCTCTCTCTCTCTCTCTCTCTCTCTCTCTCTTTCTGGCCACCCAGTCACTTTCTTCCAGGGTTCTTCTCAGACCCATTCTGTGTGTCTACCTTTCCGTCAGTGTCTATTTCAGTCAGTTCCTTTCAGACTTACATTTTTTAAACATCTTTTAATCGCCTTTCTATCAGTTTTTTTTTTCATCCGTTTTCCTTCATCAGTTTTCCTTTATTAGTATTCCTTCATCAGTTTTCCTTCATCAGTTTTCCTTTGTTAGTATTCCTTCATCAGTTTTCCTTCATCAGTTTTCCTTCATCAGTTTTCCTTTATTAGTATTCCTTCATCAGTTTTCCTTCATTAGTTTTCCTTTATTAGTATTCCTTCATCAGTTTTCCTTCATTAGTATTCTTTCATCAGTTTGTCTTCATCAGTTTTCCTTCATTAGCATTCCTTCATCAGTTTTCCTTTATTAGTATTCTTTCATCAGTCTGTCTTCATCAGTTTTCCTTCATTAGTTGTCCTTCATTGTTTTTTCTTTATCAGTTTTCCTTCATTAGTTTTCCTTCATCAGTATTTCCTAATCGCAGGTTTCCGTTCCCTTTTCATGTCACACAAAACAATGGCTACAGTAATCCTCGACAAAGGATCCATGTCTTCCTTTGAAATCGTAGTACATCTGCCCGGGAAGCAGGGAGCAAGAACTGCACACACATAAGCAAGTAAAACGGATGTGCACTAAAAACAGACGCTGATACAAGGCCACAGTCCTAATGGACGAACTACCTGGACTTTCAGTCTGAATCACAGCCGGTAAACAGATAGAAAAAGAGACTAATATCTTTCCGTTAGTCTCATTCAAATTACTTTTCCTAAATTGCCCTCGTTGTCAGCCTGTCTCCATTTTTCTCCCATACCGTTTCTCTTCATTCTCCTCTTCATTTCTCCCAGTATTTAACAAGCATTCTCCCACATTCTTTCAGTCTTTCTCGTATTCCATTTTCCTCTCATTGTCTCCACCTATTCTCCGTTCAATTCTCTTTTCCTTCACTGCCGCCCTTTTCCTTTTCATTAAACTCTCTCAAATCTCTCTTTCCAAAATTATCCTTCAATGTTCTTTGTTTTCAATCTCTCCTTACCTCATTACCCCCCCCCCCACCCCCCCCCACCTCCCATCCCCCACCCCCACCTCCCCCCACCCCCGCACTTTCGTTCTGCTAATCTCCCAAAGAGCACAGACCTGGATGGGCTTGGTGTCAACGACCGTGTAAAAAAAGAATAGCACCATGGTGTTCAGGAACAGGCCGGTCACCATCAGGAAGGAGTTCGTCGCAGTCACCAGATTCTGGCCCAAACTGGAGAAATATTCGTCCGTGTAATCCGTGGGTGGCTCCGCTGTGGTTACATCATAGCAGAATAGAGATGTGTGACTCCACTTGTACAAAAAGTGTGCACATGTGTGACTCCACTTGTACATAAAGTGTGTACATGTGTGATTCAACTTGTACATAAAGTGTGCACATGTGTGACTCCACTTGTACATAAAGTGTGCACATGAGTGACTCCACTTGTACATAAAGTGTGTACATGTGTGACTCCACTTGTACATAAAGTGTTCACGTGTGTGAATCCACTTGTACATAAAGTGTGTACATGTGTGACTCCACTTGTACATAGCGTCTGCACACGTGTGACTCCACTTGTACATAGCGTCTGCACATGTGTGACTCCACTTGTACATAAAGTGTGCACACGTGTTACTCCACTTGTACATAAAGTGTGCACATGTGTGACTTCACTTGTACATAAACTGTACACATCCGTGACTCCACTTGTACGTAAAGTCTGTACATCTGTGACTCCACTTCTATATATATATATATATATATATATATATATATATATATATATATATATATATATATATATGCGTGTTTAAAAAAAATGTTGTATGCGAATGTATGTATGGATGGATGGATAAATGGATGAACAAATGAATGTACTAATAGATAGGTAAATGAATGGATGTATGTATAAATGGATCCACACATTTATTAATGAATAAATTAGTGAACAAATGAATTGATGGATGTGTGCATGCGTGGATAAATGTCTGAGTGTATGTTTCAAGGCATAATTGAATAAAGCATTTGCCACCAGCGATTGTAGGTTTTTACCTATTCCTGTTATGTACCTGACTATGAATATAACATCCTGTACTTGTCAAATGTAGTTGCTGTGTGAACGATTAATGTTTGGACGGGCCGAATGTAAGCCAGCTGTGTGTGACACGTTGAGAGTAAACTTTGTTCGTCCATTCGTTACCCCCTTCCTCTCCCCACCCCGCCTTCTCTCTCTTTCTTTCTGCCTCTTTCATGCACGCACTCACACACACACACACACACACACACACACACATATTCACGTGTACAGAAATGTACGTTCATACATATGCATACATTAACGCAAACATACACATGTGCATATTTATACAAGGATTTGTTGACATATCAGCGTGTAGGAATACGATACAATTATTCTACAATATAGTTGGCACTCTACCAATAACTCAAAAATAATATCCTACTTTGTATCTAGAAATGTACCAATAACTCAAAGATAAGATCCTGCTTTGTATCTAGAAATGTACCAGTAACTTAAAGATAAGATCCTACTATGTATCTAGAATTGTACCAGTAACTCAGAGATGAGGTCCTACTATGTATCTAGAACTGTACCAGTAACTTAGAGATGAGATCCTACTATGTATCTAGAACTGTACCAGTAACTTAGAGATGAGATCCTACCATGTATCTAAAACTGTTTTAGTAACTCAGAGATGAGATCCTATTATGTATCTAGAACTGTTAAAGTAACTTAGAGATGAGATTCTTCTATGTATCTAGAACTGTACCAGTAACTTTGAGATGAGATCCTACTATGTATCTAAAACTGTACCAGTAACTCAGAGACGAGATCCTACTATGTGTCTAGAACTGTACCAGTAACTTAGAGATGAGATCCTACCATGTATCTAAAACTGTTTTAGTAACTCAGAGATGAGATCCTATTATGTATCTAGAACTGTTAAAGTAACTTAGAGATGAGATTCTTCTATGTATCTAGAACTGTACCAGTAACTTTGAGATGAGATCCTACTATGTATCTAAAACTGTACCAGTAACTCAGAGACGAGATCCTACTATGTGTCTAAAACTGTACCAGTAACTTAGAGATGAGATCCTACTATGTGTCTAGAACTGTACCAGCAACTGAGAGATGAGATCCTACTGTGTATCTTGGACTGTACCAGTGACTCCTATACCATATCTAGAACCTCGATATTAGAGCAATGTGTTTAGAGATCATTACTATCATCTGTCGCAAGAAACCGAGACACCTTATGAAGTAAAGGCGTATAGTGAAGATAAAGCACAGATCTTTGTGGATCGTGGCTGGACCCGCGGAGTAAGTGCTCTGTGCGCGAAGGGGCTAGTCTTCCTTTTACGAAAGGTAGGGCCATAGTAAATAAACATCGGATGCAATTAATTTGATTTTCTTTTTTAAATCAAGTCTACAACCCCCCCCCCCCCCCCCCCAACTTTTTTTAAACAATTGAATTAATAATTTTGTGCAAACGAAACATGATTTATCTACATTGCACAGACAGGAATGACTTACGCGTGGCGTTGTATGAGAAGAATTTTTGGATCATTTCCAAGGTTTTTGGCGATGTCTGCTCTGGACAGAAGGGGCGAAAAAGGGGAGTTGGGAGGGGGAAACAATCAAAATCTTGGCACACTTCGTTAAATATTCATCCTCTTCTTTCTTTCGCGTGAAGTAAATGATGCCTCTAGTATGAACTTCACTGTCTTTTGTAATTCACTTGCCGGCGGGTAACATTTGCTTCCATTAGTGTCTCTCTCCTGACCAGTAATTTTTGCTGGAAACGTTGTAAGTGAGACAGTCTTGTAGGATGTCATCTGTTGTCTCAGGTGCCAGTCCACATGTGTACATGGCTGATTCGCCAATCCTAAATGTTGTGTACATGTGGCCGCGAAGTCGACTGTGTCCTTTTCTAACGCGTAGAATAATGATCTGCTCTGTTCTGTCTATAATATGATAATGATTTTGTGCCAATGTTGGTGGATTTCTGACTTCTGATTATCTTATTTTTTTCTGTTATGCAGAGCCAGCCAGTCTGTCCCCCTGTTCATTTCCCAACACATCGATGCAAAAATCCAAACAATACTCCTCACCCCTCTACTCCGCAGCGAGGCATGCCAACCAAAAGAAATGAATTTGAATTGTACTTTTCATAATCGACCAAGAAGAGATTGAAAATGTCGCAAATTTTGAATATTCGTGCTCAGAAATTAGCAACAATGACCACTGCGCAAAAGATATCATGAAAAGACTCGATTCAGCGATGCAGGAGTTCAACAGCACTAAGAACCTATCACATAGCAGATGTAAGCAATGCAGAAGTTCAACAGCACTAAGAACCTATGACATAGCAGCTGTAAGCAAGCTGAAGTTAAACTCTTAGGATCACGTCTCTTTCAAGTGATAACTTAGAGATGCGGGTCGTGGACTCTCACTCAGTCTTTGTTGAAGAAAATCGGAGCTTTTCAACTGAAATGCTACAGAAAGGTTCTTAGAATAACGTGGACCAAGAAGAAGAAAAACGTCAATATCCAGAATGACCTGAACATGGAGGGCAACTGGCTTGTAAACAGCATCCTGTCCGAACAGCTGGGGTATTTTGGACACGTCAAGCACCAGGGTGGCCTGGAGAGTACGGGGATGGACAGAGCAGTTTCCGGGAAACGAGGCAGTGGCCGACCTCCATGAATGTGGATACAGGGCATTAAAGATGCATTTGCTAGAAAGCACATAGGGCTGGAGAACTCGCTAGAAAAAGAGCGACTTTTAAGTTTGTGGTGAAGGGAGCGACGTTCTGTAAAGGGCATGGTGACAGATGATGATGATATCAAATGAATACACAGACATATCGTCCATAATATAAAATGATCGCACACACACAGGCACACCCCATAAATAATAACCAATTAATATATAGAAATATCAGCAACGATTTACACTTATTATTATTCTTATAGTCCAAGCTGGGTAACGTTGGTAGACATGTTTATTCACAACATTCTGTCCCGTGTGCTCTTATATATTCCCGATACAGATGATCTTCCCTGCCATGATGCCAAACTGCCATGAATCTTCTCTCATCAAGAATCGTCGTGCCTGCGACGCTTTTCCTGCAGAATTGCTTACTTCTACATAAGATAAAGATCTTTTAAAGGAGTCATTAATACCTTGAGACTGCCACATCACAGCATACCTGGCAGCCGAGCAAGCCCCAGCTCGGACACTGATCATCTGTGAACCTGCGGCGCCTAGCAATACAAAACAGAATATAGACAAAAGAAAGAACTCTTTCTCACAGCCGTTGACACAAACCGTTTATATTCAGCATCGTTGTTAATCATGCCTCTCCACAATCTGCGATCTGCAGCTGCGTGTATCAGTTCGTGTATTGACACCCCTCCATGCCATGACAGAAGGCTGACAAGAATATTTTCGCGCTGTCCTCCTTCGTCTCTCTTTCCATAAATCTTTCCAGTGGTCACAATATATTCAAGTTTCCTTTTTTCTGATAACGTGACCAAACAGTGATGACTCTTTCTTTCTGATAAGTTGTCTTCAAGAACTCACACATTTAGGTCATCATCAAGTGCCTTGCCAGCCGGCAATGAAGCCGTTCACCCATCTTCACAGATCTCGGTCTTTGGTGTTCTGTATCAATTCCACTGATGATTTTCCTCTATGCCACTGTCTTAACCCATCCACCATCATTTCTCTCAGGCTGTCTCTGCGGCTTCTACAAGTGATCTTTCCAGTCGTCATGATATTTTCCAGTGCTTATTGTCTCATCACATGACCAAAGACCGTTGTATGTCTCTTTCTCGTTTTTGTATATAATGTTCTACTTTAACCAGGCAGTCGTCAGTTTTTCTGGCAGTCCAAGGTATTCGAAACATTCTTCTTAAGGAACCACATGTCATTTGGCTCAAAACTCTTCCTAATGTGTTTGCTTACATTCCAAGATTAACTGCTAGGCAACACAACGTTTAGATTTAGATGACTCATGGCTCCGACATTGATAGGGAATAGATGACGGTTACCAGAAGTGAAAATGCGTGATAATGTGTTGATCAGAACCAACGTTATGACGTTTTTAGGGGTGAGGTTTGATCGCAGCTTGTCACTCAGGGAACACGCAAAGGTCTATCTGCAATGAAGATTATGGCTGCTTCCAATATCGAGCAAAAACTACTAATACTTATATTCTACGGTCTGGTCCTTTCCCCCATTGAATACGCTCAGGCCATTCTCACTGTCAGTGCTACCCAGATTGAGCGACTCGAAAAGGTGCAAAATGAAGCCATGCGTATTATTTTAGGATGTACAAGAGATACTTGACTTTCCAACTATGAACCAAAGGATCAGGATATGGAGGGCTCGGGCATACCTTAAAATATGTGCTGATAAGAAACACCCACTGCATCAAGCGCTTTTTAGTGAAAAGGGCGACAGACTGAAGAGGGGAAAATAGTAGCTAGGTCGGGCAGAAGATGTTATTAGGCAAATATGCAGCCTAACCGACACCACCCCTAGTGCAGAGTGGATACCTGTGCCTCATGCGTTTATTTGTAAATTTTGCTATTGTAATAGGGTGGAAACGACGAAGACTACAGTGCAGCAGGTTAAAGATCTTAGATTTATTCTGGTTTGAAAATGACCAAAAGGCAAATGTATACTCAGTGATTCAATGAGTATGATCCGGAGGGTTCAGGCAGGTTCGGTGCGAAGACAATGACTTGAATAGGTTGGCTGGATCCGCTATCACTACCGACGGTCAGCCTATGGATTATGCCGATAGTATTACTGCCCTCAGAGAAATGGGAAGGATAAAGAACTTTGGGGGCTGTGAATCAACATCACTCGCAAGAATGGCAGACTTGGGAATTAAGATCGGCATAGCAACAACAACAACAACAAAATAGACGCACACCAGACACATCAGAAGACTTGTTAATCAAGCTAGAACTGGTACTATTAGCCATCGGACCTTGGGGTTCATACTGAGGGGAGGATCTGAGCACCTATGGACATGTCCGGAGTGCAATGATGATAACCCAACTAACTAACTTCCAGATGACGGTTGAGAACTTGGCTTATGTTGACCTTTCTCGTTGCCGTTTCTCCTCCGCCGTGGCTGCAATTTGGCGAAGGAGAAACGTGGAGAGTCGTCAGGAAAAGTTTGAATCTACTCATCGCCCAGCTTTTCATCGGATGAAGTTGATTTTCAGCGATGACGCCTAGTCTCGCAGTGTGTTGAAGGAGGCATGCACCTTACGGTTTGCAAATCGTGACTGTTTTGCTGACTTAGGACACTTTGTGTATGGCTACGGTATTCACTTGAAGTATCACTGGCATAGGCGGTTGAGCTCGTTTGCTGTAATGCCGGAACCGTAACGACTAACTAACTAACTAGCTAACTATAACATTTAGATGGCGTAGAATATTCACTTTGCGGAAAATGAAATTACATAAAATCAGTATTACCATATGGTGAAACAGTCTTGAAAAGACTGGTTACCGCCAACGTTAGAGCAACATAAGACTTCATGGTGTGGCGCTTGGAGTCGGACAGACGACTTGATGATGCCGAACCGTTTCGGTCAATATCTTTGGCGGTGCACGGTTTGTGGGAATTTCCGCTGTCCATAGGCGCTGTCAGTTCAAGGCAGTATATCCATCATCATCATCATTTTCAACGCAAGATAGCTATTGTCGTGTACCACAACAAATGGATTCTGTATTTTTTGTTGTCGTTTGTTGTTATTTTATTTTTACTTCAATGAAGTGATTTTCTGATGTTTTGCTGTCTGTAGGAACCTCGCCGATGCTACGGAGCTACGTGCATTGTGCCGAGAACCACCTAAGTGAGCGTCGTATGTTAATTTGTGTTTAGTAACGACGATGGTCCCCCAGACAAAGAAAAGCAAACTCACGTCGACTCAAGTGTGACAGGATCAGGCTCAAACATGCACGAATTCTATACTGTTTAAACAAAGGGAAAGAACGATTAGAATATATATATATATATATATATATATATATATATATATATATATATATATATATATATATATATATATAAAAGAAACTCATAGTTACTGAAAGGAACAAACATACTCTCAGTTTTGACATTCTGCATCTTTGTAATGCAGTAAGTGAAACTACTCAAATTTCACCCAAGAATGCCTTAGGGCTCCACCAATCGATTTACACCATTTGGGCCATGATAATTGTAAGGCCTAGGCCTTTCTCGTTAGTTTGATGCGTGGCCTTCTCTTGCGTGGATCAGTGACTAGCATCTCCTGGGTATGGGTGCGATCAGATTTCTGATGTGGGCCTGTGGGATGGCTGCCCACTCTTCCTGAAGTGCCTGGAACAGATCACGACCATTGGCTGGAGCAACGTTTCGGCGACAAGCACGTCTTTGCAGCTGATCCCACAGGTGCTCAACCGGACTCATGTCTGCAGACAGGGATGGCCAGGGAAGGGTTTGAATGTTACTGGCAACCAGGAACTGAGTGGTCAACTGTGCAGAATGGGGTCTGGCATTGTCCTGTTGGAAAAGATATCTGTTGGCA